CTGGACAGTGCGAGGTTAGGAGTCTGGTCAGAGGAAGGGTCAGCATCTCGGCATCTCTGAGAGGAGGTTGCTCTGAATCCCTCCACGCTTTTGTTTCGAACAATTTCCTGACCCACAGTGGAAACTTACTGGGAAAATGTTCACGTTGGTTTCCTCTAATTAGTATGTCAAGCGTCAATTTCTATTCAAGTCAAGATAGCTACTTAAGCATCTGCTTTGTGCGAGCCACCATATTAAAAGCTGCTGAGAATTAAAAACAAAACAAAACAAAGCCCTAGCTGATTTGGCTCAGCGGTTAGAGCATCGGCCTGCGGTCCAGAGAGACCCGGGTTCGGTTCCCGCTAAGGACACGTACCTCGGTTGCAGTTTGTCCCCGGCCCTGGTTGGGTCGTGCAGGTGGCAGCCACTCGATGTGTCCCTTTCACATCAATGTTTTTCTCTCTCTCTTCCTCTCTCTCCCTCCCACTCTATCTGAACAAAAAATGGAAAAATGTCCTCGGGTGAGGATAAACAAAACAAAACAACCTACGGAGTCACTGCGAACTCACAGCTCAGTGTAAGGGAGAAGTCAGTCCGAAGCCAGAGGGAATCAACAACAAAGCAGACGGCAATGATCACAGCAGACACAGAAAATGCTGGGACAGTTCATGGGGAGAAGGATCACATCTGTTGGGGGATCAACATCAGACAGTGGATGCAGTCAGAGGACCGAATGAGAGAAAAGGGGAAGCAAGAGAAAGGAGTCCTGGGGACCGGCTGCATTCAGGGGGGCCCGAGGCCAGGGATCCGGTGGGGTGGGGGTGAAGAGTCAAGGGGGCAGGGACAGAGCTGTGGAAGCCACAGCAGAGACCCAAGTGGTCAGCGGGGCCCAGAGGCAGGAGCTCAGCTAGAGTTAGAGGCTGGAGAAAAAGGCTTCGTGGATTTCACTAAGTCTTCAGTTCAGTCCCCACTAAAACCTGTTTAGCGGAATGGTGTGGACAAGATCCAAACTGAGGAGGGTTAAGAAAAGTTAAAAACTAAGGAAACAGAGGTGCTGTCTAGACCAACTCTAAGGAAATTGCTTAAAAAGAGAGAGAGAAAAAGGGGGAATTACTGTATTTAGAGGACACACAGTCTAGTGTGTGTGTGTGTGCATATGCATGTGTATGTGTGCATATGCATGTGTGTGCGTGCGTGCGTGTGTGTTTAATTCATATGGAATTTATTTAGAAGTGTGAGAACATTTATTTGTTCTGCTTAGCAACCCAATTTTTCTAGCACCATTTTTAAAAATTCCCATTCATAGCAAGTCCTGTTTAAGAGTCATACTTTTGTTATATGTCTATCATTAGCCACAGGGTTTCTGGACCATTACTCAGTTCGGGGCAGCTGTACAATCTTGCACCTGTAACTTGGGAATGTAATAATAATTGTAGCATTTGAATGGGTTTTAACATCTGGCAGAAGTCCCCCTCATTGCTTTCCTTTTGCAAAATGTTCTTAGCTTTACTGTTATAGCCATTTCTTTTAGGGATTTATTATAGTCATTTATTTAAATTTTTTAACAGTAAACAGTAAAACTCACCACTTAAAAAATACATATGCAAAACAATACGTTAAAGTCCCAACCACCCCCCCAACACACCACCTATTCAAGTTTCTGTGTCCTTAAATGTGCAAAATGTCTTTCTTTTGCTCTCAGTATAAATGGTCCTTGACCAGTCCTTTTCACTGAAAAGTCTGAAACACTTCTTGGCTGTGTGTCTTTATGGAGAAGAGCGGTCCAAAGCTGGTTCTCTTTCTTTCGTATGTAATCGGTACTCCCTGTGAAGAATCTTGTAAAAACAATCTGCTTTGTCCTTGGATTTGGAAGTTCTACCAGGACATCTCAAATTGCGCATCATCCCCTTCATTAATTCTCTGGCACCGAGTAAGCCCATGCTATCGGAACACTGACTTTCTTCTGCTCGCAGACCTCTCCTTCTGGGAGTCGGTCCCTTCTGGTTTGGACCCGCGCGCTCCTTCTCTGGAGCATTCGTCGTTCCGACAGAGACGGAGCTCTTGAATCTCACCTCCACGTTTATCTTTCAGCTCCTGGTTTCCATTTCCTCTTACTTTTACCCCTCCTACGAATCAATTCCTCCTTTTGCTTTCCCAGATCTAAATTAAATTCTGAGTAGTATACGTTACTCTTTTCACTTCCTCTCTGCATGCTTAGCATTGTTGATTATTGTTGCAATTTTGTTTATATGGCCTAGACTTCTTCCCCGCTCTGAGTTGCTGGTCCAGCTCCCCATCCTGGCCAGGCTGGAGGTTGGCAATGCCAGGTAGAGACAGGTGACAAGGGGATTCTCTCCCGGTGCTGGACAGGCTGGCCAACAGGGTCCTGACACCCAAGGCACGGGGCAGAGGCCTCCCAGTCTGGGGTTCTCAGGTTCCCCAGGTGTGAACAGCAGACCATTCTCTCCCAGCAGCACAGAAAAGCAAGGACCAGTTCAGCCTACTGTGCGATGCCGAGGACAGCCAATGCCCACGCAGTCAGAGCCCTATGCCTCAGAGGTAACATGGGACACATTCCCAGCAGGTACGGCCCTTCTATGGGCTGAGGAGTCCTTTGGACTCAGCTGGTCGTTAAGTCTCCAGTTCTCCTCTGAACCCTGTCCCCTAACCCTGTTGCATGCAAAGGCTCCCAGAACCTGAACCCTTTTCTTGAAAACCCAAATCCTCAGATGTATCTGAGATGCCCTCCAGAGTCATCTGTCTCCTTGAGGCGTCCCCAGCACAGGTGGGAGCTGCTGGAAGGTCACAGAAAGGTAGAGGGCTGGACTTAGACCACACATGGAAGGGTTGACTTCGAGCTGGACAAGGAGCACGTGACCATCTAACGTGGAAGAGGATAAGGTTGTGATGAGAGACGGGTGTAGGGCAGGGGTTTTCATTGGGTGGTCCACGGGCCAACACATCAACATCTCCCGAGAACTCACCAGGAACTCCAATTCCTGGGCCCCGCCCCGGGTACACTGTCACAGGGATGCCTAGACACCTGTTCTAACAAGCCCCTCAGCAGACTTGGTGGAAACTTAAGTGTGAGAACCACTACTATAGAAGGTAGAAAATCAGGTACATTTGAAAATGATCATCTCTCTTTCATGCCATGAAGATGGAATGAAATCAGTTACCTTCTAAGGGCAAGTGATTTACTGTGGAGCTTGGGGAAGTGGGAAACTGTGGGACTACCCACTGAGAACAATGGAAGGAGGAGGCGGAGAAGTCTAGGATCACCGTGTACAAATTTGTAGCGACGCCAGCAAGTTGCCACATGCAACTGCGTTTGTCTTTATTAGTCACGATGGCATGAACAATACCTCAAAGATGGGCAAGTTAGGGGCACCGTCAGAAGATACCCAGTGAATGACTGTCATTTATAAAGATAAAATTTGCTTTATAAAATGCCATCATAAACGAAAGGATTTTGGAATTGTAAAGCTTTGAAGCACATCTACCACTACTAACTTTGTCATTAAAGAATCTCCAGATCTCAGCAGGCATCCTTGTCCTTCCTTCATCCGGGTAAAACAAGGAGTGTCAGCCAGGCTTATCAGGAAGCCTGTGGCACAACTGGATGGGCCACTTAGGTCTCCTGACCCATTACTCTTCTTTCCAGAACTGAGCAAACTCTCCAGTTCCTGTGCTCTGACAGACCGAGAGCTCAGAAGCCACGTGGAGGAACCCAGCACATCAGCCCTGGGGGAAGTCGGCAGCGTTTGGCTCTGAATGGGCATCACAGGCCAGAGAAGCATCCGATCTGCCGAACACAATGCCAAGACTTGACCCAGCGCCAGCCCTTCTATCCAGGGGCTCAATCAAGCTCATCCCTGTGGCCTACACACCCTTGAGGCTCAGCAAAAATACAGGTGGGTCCATCCAAAGGGAAGCAACAGCCACCGCCACGCAAGGTCGCCAGGCAGATGGATGGTATCAGTCAAGTAAGCAGTGGCGAGAGCAAGAGGTTAAGTGACATGGTTATAAATAGAGCCCACAAAAGCATTACAAAAATCTAAACTCAGCCCTGAAGTTGTGGTTGAGAGCAATGTGGGCAGCCACTGATAAACAGACTGGCCTGGCGCAGTGCCGTCAGAGGGTGCCTGGGCTCCCGTGAAGCCAGACCGTCCACCAGCTGTGGCCCGAGCCCATTGGGGAGACACGGGCAAGGGCTTTAGGGACCACGCTGGCCAGGCTCATGAGGGATGTCATTACCTACCACCTCACAGGGCGAGAGTAAGGATTTATGAGTTCATGCACAGAGGACTTAAAACAGGGTCTACACATTCTAAACACCCCCATCAGGGCCAAATGTTTTTCCAGGATGAGTTTGAAAGGCGTCCACTCAAATGAACGACCCTCTCCCTCCCAGCTGAAGCCCTGAATGAGAATGCCCTGCCAATCTGTGAGCGTCCACCTGCCTCCTCCAGGGACAGGCAGGGCCTCCTAACTTTGCCCCACAAGCCCTGAGCTCTGCCCACCCATCCACTGACTAGCATCCCTTATCCTTGGCTTTGTTTGCATATTCTGGTCTTTTTTTTTTAATTCTCACCCAAGGACATTTTTGCACTTATCTTCAGATACAGCAGGAGGGAGGAAGGGGAGGAAGAGGGACAGAGAAACATCAATGTGAGATGGGGACAAACTGCGACTGAGGTACGTGCCCTTAGCAGGAACTGAACCTGGGTCTCTCTGGCCCATGGGCTGATGCTCCAACCGCTCAGCCAAACCAGCCAGGGAGGCTTTTTGCTTATTCTACTGAGAAGAGGTGAGGACAGGAGAGAGATTTGTTCAGTTTATCAAGAGGAAACCTGAGACTTGCAAATCGGTCTCCTAGGCCCCATAAATCCTACCACCGCCAGTATCTGATTATTCTTTGAAACGAGCGTGCGCTCGGGTGAGAGGCAGCTACATGCAGCGGAGAGCCCGGGGTGTCCGGCAGAGTCGCCGCGGCGGCAGGAGGCCCCAGGGCCACTCACCTCGGTATTCAGCCGGGCACAGGCACTCGTAGCCATTGACGAGGTCCCTGCAGGTGCCCGCGTTCAGGCACGGGTCCGAGAGGCACTCGTTGCATTCCTCCTCACAGTAGAGGCCGTGGTAACCTGAGGACAGAGAGAAAGGGCTGCCATCAGACGGGTCCCATGGCCACCCACCAGACCAGCCTGTAAGGGGGCCGTCGGGGGTTCACGGGCAAGGGTGGGAGAGACAGGTGGGATTTAAGAGCTGGGTCTCTTGGGGTATCCCTGAAATGTAGATTTCCAGGAAGGCTCTAAGCGTCTGTTCTTAGCACCCTCCTTCATAATCCCAAGAATTATCTATTTATCAAAGAGAAGTTATCCATTTGTCACCAGATGGTCTCCTTATGACATGGTGTTCAGGGGTACTGGAGACGTGGGTTCCCGAGTGTGTGTGCCGAGACCACCAAACACAGTAATAGCAGCAGGACTTCCAACTCCTCTAAGGACATGGACCACACTGTTCCTCCAATCAATTCAAGAAATATCTCTAACGATAGAGAATTGTGTCAAAGGAGAAAAGGATCGATGTGTTTTCTCTGCTGTTCAAGTCAGGAAACAAACTCAGCTAAGCAGGCTTACCTGGAATTCCTGAGCAACCATGGGCTATTGTTTTTGTTTATTTAAAGTGATACTTATCCTGTGTTCAGTTGTCATACATACATGCATGTAAGTTCCCCCACAATCCCCAATCCTCTGAGGCTTGTCCGTCTGTACGCCACCTCCATGTCTCTGGGTTAATTTTGTTCAGCAGTTTGTTTAGTTCATTATATTGCACAAATAAGCGAGATCATGTGATATTTGTCTTTCTCTGTTTGCTTGTTTCGCTTAGCATAATACTCTCCAGGTCCCTCCATGCCATCTCAAAAGATAAGAGATCTTTCTTTCTTACAGCTGCATAGAACTCCATTGTGTATATGTACCACAGCTTTTTAATCCACTCATCTACTGATGGACACTTGTGCTGTTTCCAGATCTTAGCTATTGTAAACAGCACTGCTATGAGCATGGGGGTACATATATTCTTTCTGATTGGTGTTTCAGGTTTCTTAGGGTATATTCCTAGAAGTGGGATCACTGGGTTATGACCAATGAACACAGACAACAAAGCTGGGGATAGGGCGGGGGGAAAGAAGGAGGGTGTCAATGGGGGAAACATGAGAAACATCTGTAACAAAAACAAATTAATAAAAAAAGATGTTTAAAAAAATAAATATTTATGGAGGGAAACGAATAAATAAATAAAGTGATACTTATCTGCATTATAATATTTTTACTTGTGCTCAAATTTTTTAATTATTAAAAAGGTAATCATAGCAATGGGAAAAAAAAAAAAGAAACCTAATCGTTTCTTAATTAAAGATGGTTCCAAGAGGAAGATGGCAGCTGGTAGGACCGGAGGGAGGGTGAGTGTGTGAGCGAGTGAGCGAGTGTGGGAGAGAGTGTGAGTGGACGTGCAGGTGGACGACCAAACCCGAGCAGTGCAGAGCCGGGAGCAGAAGGTCCCTGTGCTGGGGACGGAGCAGCCGGCTACCGCGGTGAGCGGCCCTTCAGGGCGCTTCTCCCTGCCCATGGGGAGGTCCCACCATTTAGGAAGATCTCAGGTCTTCCCTGGCAGGAGGCAGTGGGAGCAGCGAGGGCCCAGCAACCTGAGCCCACCAGCGCACCTGGCACCATGGGACCAGTGGACACTCTGTGTCAACACAGACCAGTGCACAGTAGTGGAGCTGCCAAGGTGCCGGTCACAGAAGCCAGAGACAGCGGGGAGCCCAGCACCATCCCCCATAGTAGCAGCCCCATCAGAGTCGTGATACACCCCCAGCAACAGAGGCTGGGGAGCAGACATCCATCCCCAGGCAGCAGAAGCAAAGACCAGCAGCTGAGACCCACCCCCAAATAGCTGAGCAGGAGTTGAGCCCCACGGGGCAGCAGCACTCCCCAGCCGCCAGCAGCGGGACCTGGGGCTCCACAGAGGCCTGTGAGGTCCAGCAGCCCACAAAAGCTGTGGGAAGCCTGAGCCCGAGAGGGACTGGTGTGATCCAGCTGCCTGCCCACAGGACCTGCAGGGTGCAGGGGCAACAGAGAGGCCTGTGCGACCCAGCTGTGTACAAGATAGGCACAGAGGATGTGAAAATGGAGATGGAGTGAATGGAAGCTACACAGACAATCTGCCAGGACCAAACGGGTTTTACACTTAAAATAAAGACAAATCCTCAGAGAAAAGCAGCAGGACAGGACCATATAACTGGGACATTAGTGGGATCAGCAGTGGTGCAAGAGGGTGGCAGGCTGGGAGCCCAGGGAAAGCAGCAGTCATAGCTGTGAGGAGCGCCCTTGGGGAATAAAGACCAAGCCCGCTCCACAGCCCACAGAGCCCGGACAGAGCACTAAAATAACCACAGCCACTCAACTGGGGGCTATGGCAGAGGGAGGGCAGACTGGGCTGAAACTCTGTGGGGACACCCGGGATTTGGAGGGCACTCAGAGTTTTTGCTCAGTTGCGAACACAAAGGACGGTGGCCAGTGTGCTCCTTCCCAGGGCTGTGGGGAAAAGCAGCAGCCCTTCCCTCGGAGATTTAGCCTTTCTCAGGTGAGTCAAAGAAATGCAAATTGAGGCTCATTAACAACCACCATCTATCCCACCCTCTGGAAATCCTCTTATGTAGAACACCAGGGCTACATTCCAAAGCCCCGAGTAACTAAGACTACTAGCCACCAGGAAAAAGCTAGAGAATAACTGAACCTTTCCTGGGCTTGCAAATCTACCCAGGAAAGTAAGACCTGACTGTGGTGTTTAACCCAGGCACATCCAAACCCAGTAGAGAGAGCACAAACAGCAGAACACCAACACCCAGAGGGAAAATTTGGCATGCTCCAAAACCCACTGAGATAGCCAAAATGGTGAAACAAAGAAACAAATCCCAAATGACAGAACGAGAGAACTTTATAGAAGATGAGATAAAGGACATGCAGTTAAGTAAATTATCAGAGGTAGAGTTCAGAGCCATGATCTTGAGGAAGCTCAACAGCATGAGTAAGGACATCAGCACCATGAGTAAAGATATAAAAACACTGAAAGCCAACCAAGTGGAAATGAAGAATCACATAGCAGAAATTAAGAACACATTGCAAGGACTAACCAGCAGAGTAGAGAAAGCTGAGCACTGGATCAGTGAATTAGAAGACGAGGTAGAAAAAATCAACCAATCAGAAAACCAAAAGGAAAAAACAATTTAAATAAAAAGGAATTCAGCTTAAGAGAACTGTGGAACAACTGGAAACATAATAACATTCACATCATAGGAGTCCCAGAAGAGCAAGAAAATGGGCAAGGGTTAGAGAATATATTTGAAGAAATAGTGACAGAAAACTTTCCTAACTTGGTGAAGGAAGAAGGCAGTCAAGTTCAAGAAGCACAGAGAGCCCCAAGTAAGAAGAACCCAAACAGGCCCACACCAAGTTACATAGTAATTCAAATTTCAAAAATAACAGACAAAGAGAGAATCCTAAGGTAGCAAGAGATAAGCAACAGGTTACCTACAAAGGAAACACCATAAGGCTCTCAGCTTACTTCTCCACAGAAGCACTACAGGCCAGAGGGAATGGCATGAAGTAATCAAGGTCATGAAAACCAGGACCTGAATCCAAGACAACTCTATCCAGCAAAGCTATCATTCAAAATAGAAGGTCAAATAACAAGCTTTCCAAACCAAAAAAATCCTAAGGGAATATATTAACACCAAACCAGCACTGCAAGATATGCTAAAGGACTGCTGTAATTAGTAGAAGAAATAAAAAGAAAAATAGAACCATACTAAACAAAAATGGCAATAAATAACTACGTATCAATTTTCACCTTAAATGTGAATGGTTTGAATGCTCTGATAAAAAGACTCAGAGTAGCTGACTGGATAAGAAACCATGACTCACATATATGTTATTTACAAGAGACCCACCTCACAACAAAAGACTCACATAGGTTGAAAGTGAAGGGATGGGAAAAAATCTTGCAAACAAACGGAAAGCAAAAAGAAGTTGGGATGGCAATACTCATATCTGATAAATTGGATTTCAAAATTAAGGCCATAACTAGAGACAAAGAAGGCCACTACATGATATTGAAAGGATCTATCCAACAGGAAGATATAACCTTAATAAACATATATGCACCCAATATAGGAGCACCAAAATATATTAAAAATCTTCTGGAGAACTTCAAAGGAGAAATCAATAGCAATACAATCATAGCAAGGGACTTCAACACCCCACTGACATCACTGGATAGATCCTCTAGACAAAAAAAATTACCAAGGAAACAGAGACTCTAAATGAAGCACTAGACCAAATGGATTTAATAGATATCTACAGAGAATTACACCCCAAAACTACAGAATACACATTCTTCTCAAGTGCACATGGGACATTCTCAAAGATAGACCACATGTTAGGGAACAAGCTAAGTCTCTACAAGTTCACGAAGACTGAAATCATATCAAGCATCTTCTCAGATCACAATGGCATGAAACTAGAAATCAATTGCAAGAAGAACAAAGACATTTGAACATATGGAAGCTAAATAGCATGTTATTAAACAATGAATGGGTCACCGAGGAGATCAAAGAAGAAATCAAAAACTTCATGGAAACCAATGAAAATGAAGACACAACAACACAAAATCTATGGGATGCAGCAAAAGCAGTTCTGAGAGGGAAGTTCATAGCACTACAGGCCTACCTCAAAAAAACAAGAAAAATCTCTAATAGACTATCTAACCTCACAACATAAAGAACTAGAGAGCAAACAAAAAAGAAAACCCCAGAGCAAGTAGAAGGAAGGAAATAGTAAAAATCAGAGCAGAAATAAACGACATAGAGACCAAAAAAACAATTCAAAGGATCAACGAAACAAAGAGCTGGTTCTTTGAAAAGATAAACAAGATTCATGGACCCTTAGCTAGACTCACCAAAAACAAAGAGAGAGAACCCAAATACACAAAATCAGAAATGAAAGAGAAGTAACAACTGACACCACAGAAATACAAAAGATCATTAACAACTACTATGAACAATTATATGGCAACAAATTCG